AACTAATTCCCCGATGGTTGTCATACGAAGGCTTATCTGCCTCCTTATAAATTGAGATGATCAGTGAAGTACACAAGTCTGACAGCGCTACTTCTAGATCCCATATGCTGACCAGTACCTCCTTTACTTTGCTCAACAATATCTTACCTCTATCCTTGAAAGCTTCAGGTGGTAAACTGTCAGGTCCTGTTGATTTAGGTCGTTTCAAGATCGGTACAGTCCCCTAAGTACTAAGCAGTGGTGTCAAAAATGTAATCGTGTAAACTGTGTTATGTATACTACTGGATACAGAAAAAGTAGAAACTGCACAAATAGTCATTGATGCTTACTGGTAATGTCGGGGTGATGTAAATCCTCTTTTGGGAAACAGCTCACCCATAATTAGCTTTTCAGGTGAGATGACGAAAATTACTTGTCTGAGCTAAATCCACACCCAGCATATCACAATTACGTATTCCATCATATTTATTGATATCTTTTTGCATGTTTATTTACTTATTATTACCAGATACTTAGTCTTACTCTTCACCACATTTTGCAAAAAACTATTGCTCTAATATCTTGTGTTGCGTAATATCATTTCATTTCCTACATACACCTATAGACTTAGTTTGACCTTTGACCAGAAACTTGTCCGTAATGTTGTGTCACTTTACTTAAACATTTACGAATACTTATTAGACATTATTTGTCCCTTGGGTTCCTAGTGGAACATACGGCTTCAGTAACACGTCGCCATTTCACTCTCTCCTCTACAGTCTTCTTAACCTGGCTCCACAACAGCCCACAAGCTTTCACTTCTTCCTCACACTATCTTCTCCAGGTCACCCTCACCTCGGACGCCCAACTCGTCGTTTCCCATTCGGGTTCCACTCGAGGGCCTGCCTGGCCTGGCACGTGATGTCCCCGAATAGTCTTCTCAGTGTATGTCCAATCCAATCCATATTCACTTCATTCCTCTGTATATTTGTTGGGCGATAGGTTCTTGGTTGGTTTGTTGTCAGACCAGGGTTCTCTGTTGCTTATTCTTTCTGGCCATTTGATCTGATCTTCAGTATCGAGTGAGCGTAGGCGACAGCTGTTCATGTATGTCTGTAGTTTGTTGGAAATGCCAAGTCTCTCAACCATCATATAGAGGCACTGGCTTGACTGAATTAATGTTAAAAATCCGGATCTTGTTCACGCTTTATGCTGGGTGTAGTGCAGTGCAGTAGATCTCCACAATGATTATTTCAGATTAATGAAGGAAGGTCTGTCTTGCTGTCTTTCCGATCCTGGCTTTGACGTCCTCATCTGTGACTGTGCCGTCGTCTGTAGTTGAAACGATGCTGCCTAGGTAGGTGAAAGAGACTACTTCCTTTAGGTGTCTCCCGTTCATGGTGATCGGTGCCTGTTGTTGTTGGTTGGGTATCTTCACCACCCCTGTCTTCTCCGCGTTCACTTGAAGTCCTGTCTTCGCTGCCCTGTCTCTTCAGTCAACTTGTTAGTTTTCGCCTGTAGATCTTCGAGTTTGTGCAACACTAGACATAAATCATCATCATTGGCGAAATCCAAATCTTCTAGGGTCTTTTCATCGGTCCAGCCAGCGTATACCCATCTTCTCGCTCCTCACAGTTTCTTGCATGATCCAGTCCAGTTCAGTCGACCACAATCAGGAAGATCATCGGTGATAGTAGACAACCTTGTCTTACTCCTTCCTGTCTTCACTTCAAAGCCATCATTGAGCTTTCCATTGCGAATCACTTGGCATGTAGCATCATATAGCACATAGCCGTTGAATGAGGTTGGTAAGGTTTTGTGGCACTAAAACCGTGGTGTTGAAGCAGTCGCCAAACTATATCTCGGTCAACGCTGCCGAAGGTCTTTCCAAAATCGATGAAGTTGAGGTTAAGATCCAGTTGACTGCTATTCTATGCTCTGTTCTATGATGATGTGTAGCGTAGCGTTGCATTTTGGTCCGCAAATGATTTATTCTTCCTGATTCCAGTTGTAATTTTGAATCTCTCCAAGATGATGCGGCTTAATATTTTGCTCGGGGTGGACAGCGGTGGGGCATGATTCCGCGCCAGTTCTTGAAAAGACGTAGGTCTCCCTTCTTTGAAAGTTTGACAACCTGCAGGTACCTTATCTTCCTTCCCTGCAAACCTTCTGAAATAGTGGTATGAGCATGTCCGCTGTTGTCTATGCTTGTTTTCAGTGATTCTGGAGGAATTTCGTCTGACCCTGCTGCTTTCCCAGATCTGAGTAACTTTATGGAGTCCAAGATTTCACTTTTGCTTTTGTCGAAGGATCTGTGTTAACCGATAGTTCTGTGGCTGGGCTTCTGGTGATATTTCTGGACGAGTTGCAGATGGTGGTGGTGGTCGATTCAAGAGGTTTCATGTAGTGGTTAGCCCTGATGATTCACTAACTCTTTCTTATTCATAAATCACCAGTTAGTCGTTATCATTTCATGCCTACATTGTTCAGACTGGTCAATGTATGAGAAATATAGGTGGAAAGTAATAATACTACCCAGTCTTGGGAGGATTCTACTAGTGAGTACACCCTAGGCTCTTCAAACGCACTGATGTCTAATACCTTGAAGATCTGAAGCATGAATAGCCAACAACCAAAGTAATACACAGCCGAACTACCTCAGTTCATGGAAATAGACAACCATATCAACCACCTTATCTTGAACTCTACGCTTCGCTTCAACACTGCTGATGCGTCAGTCAGACGGAAGGCGATTAAAGCTTTGGAGCTGACTATGAGCGAACCATTCTCACCATTTCACGTCTACCACTTTTTCTATACACAGAGGTTGCTGATTAGTGAACTTGATCAGCTTAAGTCAGTAATAAGTCCATTGGAATGAGTGGAAACAAGCAAACTGATTAGTTACGCTAAGAATTTAGTCTACAACAAAAAAAGGAAAATTATCAAGTACCTGCTGACAAAATGTTTTCATCACTGAAGGGAGGATATCAGTTAAGAAAACAGAATAGTTGTATATAATAAAACAAGGAAAGAGTTTTACGGTAAATATCAACAGTGAGAAACGGACTTAGAATTTCATCGAAAATAACATTCAATGGAGCAAACTTATGCTCTCTATTTTACTCAACAGTTATAGTTCAAGAGCAATAGACAGACTTATGAGACTACTTTATTATAATCCTAGAACATTTGTGACAACTAGAATGTTTATTTCTTTCCTACCTTGTTCTCATCAGTCCCAATTAATGCTAATTTGGTATCCCTTTTTTAAATCTTTGGTTTTATACTACTTAGCATTACTGAGTAGCATGACCCATGTTTTCTTTTAATGTTACTACATCGTCAATTTGACTGTTAATTCTATACAGTTGAATCTTGTTCATCATTTAACGCCTTTAGATATTAGTTCCTTTCCCGGTTCATGATAATGTTGAGATCTCTTCCCTTACTCCTTGATGTTCTACGTTACCTTGAACATTTGTCTGTACTTTATCGTGGGGAAATACGCACATCCTTTATATTCCCTTGGATCCAGCTTTGCGATTGATGCACTCTCTGTAAGGTGCTTTGACAACGATACATTCACACATACCTCACGATTCGAGGTTCATAATTCATTATTCACTACTATTTATTCATAAAGAACCGTATTTCAGACAAATCCTGTATTTGGAATTTTACGTGTAACTCGAGAGTTTGGTTTCGAATTTCTTGGAAAGAAATTCCCATACGGTCTGGCTGGATGCGCATAATCTTATTAAAAGGACAGAATGTCTAAATTTGCTTCTCATATGCCCACTTACCAGTTAAACTCCTCCTGTGTAGCCAATTACATTGGGTTTACGACTAGGCAAGTACATCGTCATATTTCTGAACGCTATGAATCATGGATGAGTAAAGAGCAAAAAAGATGAATAAGAACCCCCATACATGAACACCTAGTAGAAATCGAATCGATCTAAATGAGTTATTCACTGGATTGCTGTTAATCTTACACTGCAAGAATTCGTTTTTTGAATACACAGGAAGCTACTGGGATCCATTCGAACAAGCCAAACTAGTGAGTTCCACCGAAGTTTGTACGTCATCGTTCTTCACCTTAATCAGTCACATAATTTAGTTTTACATTCACAAACTACGTAAAACGACTGTCGCCTCTGTCAGTCTTAGATTTTCTCCCTTCTTATTTTTTGTAGTTACTGTAGACAGCTAACATAACTACTCATTATCGGCACTACACAACTCATCAATTCGGTAACAACCCAGTGTGACTTCAACAGTTTTGTTTTGTTTTCTTAATTCCCAACCTAATTTCCCTTATCAACTCATTAATATTTTATTAAAACTAAACGTCTTCTTACTAAGTAAACTGTTACCATAGTACGTTTTACTGACAAAAGGAATTTAAACATTGGCGTACAGCTGATAATGACGAGCTTATAGAAGAAATATATTCCTACGCACAAGTGGCTATTTCTAGGTGTTTCAGTGGGAATTTTTACTCTACAGGAAATGGTTTAAGGTGCAGATTACAACTTGAATTATTCTGAATGTTCAGTGTGCACGGGAAAATGAATATAAAATAATATCACACAGAACCCTTTCATATAATTCTCTTTAAGGATTCTAGCACAAATTATATCTTCAGCTTCTTCCCGTGTGTCTTCAGTTGCTGCATATGCACAGCAGACTTTGAATCACACGAATACTACTCATGAGTACTGGATGAGCATTGAAAGATAACATAAAAGGTATCAATCAAGAAGTCATCTTCGACTTCTGTTGTACCATTTGAGTATAGTACTGTTGAAGTGGAAAATATTTTGAAATGGTGCAGATTTGTAGCTCAAGAACATGACCTTGAATATGGTCGTGAATGCATTGAAAATGAAAACCTCTACCTGATCGCCTCAATGAAATAGTGAATAAGCCACAAGACCCCAGTATTAAGTAATTTATGTAGTCTTTTGGAGAAATAAACGTGTTTAATTAACAAAAGAAAGAGAATAAATATGTATTCAACACATTGCTCTTCGTTGATATTCAGCAGTGGCAACAGTGTAATCCTCGATTCGGAAGTAACGGGTTTCATTCTGTCTCAGAAACCTAATACACAAAACATAATAATGAATAAATTAGATCTTATTTTAAGTAAAGTGATAACGATTTTCATGAAGATAATCTTCCTTAGTAATTAAAAAAAGTGAAAACTTGATACTGTTTCTTTGGTGATGGCTGGTAAGCTAAGATCCGATATGCACGCTTTGTTTTTTACCCGAGATCTATCAGGTTTACATGTATCCCAATGTGTCAGTGTTCTTAGTGAGAATCTTATCCAGCACCACGGGAAACTACAATGAAAAAATAAACCTTTACCCTTTGGAAATAGGTGAAGACTAGAAAAGGATTTTCTTTTTTACCATGAAGTAGCTACGCTTAAAATCTACGAGAAAGTCATTTTTCCACCATTAAGATGCACTTAGAAGTGGTGTGAAATTGAGCTACTTTTCCAGTCAAAGCTATATAAAATCATGCAAAAGAATGGAAATCTCAGCTGAATGGCTCGATTAAACCAATGTAAACTGACGATTTCCTTCTTTACCGGTTGTTTGGATTAAAAATATACTGAATCTCACTTTATCTAAAAACGTTACTTCTCAGACGATGTGGTTTCTGAGTAGTAAACAATAGTTAAATGATCCCCATAGGTTACTCAGAACTTGAATCATTTGAGCGAACGATTGTTTGCAATAACTTCTTCTTCAGGCTCTACAGTTAGTTGCGCAGTGAAATCAATATTAACAGAACAATTACGAAATGAGGAGACAAAATCTACAGATGATGATTCATCGAAAAGAAAAAATTTTCTTCGCTGAGACCATATCTTGTCTTATATACATTTATTGGGGTATGAATGTATGTATGATTGTTTACTAAGGGTCAAATAATAATTATGAAACGATGAGTTATATTCAGGTGGGATGAAAATTATGTGAATACTATAACGAAATAGAGAATTGTCTGAACCATGATATGTATTTGCGCAACACATTTCGAACTATCTGATCACACACGTGTGATCAGATAGTTCGAAATGTGTTGCGCAAATACATTACACGGTTCAGACAATTTACGTCTTCTTATTGTTTTGTCGAAGTTTATCAAGAGAACTAATTGTTTTAAAAAAGAAATAGAGAATGACAAATATGAAGTATTACATCATGGTTGGAAATGTCTACAGGTTGTGGTATGAATATAGAAGGGTGTAAAACTAATGACATACGAAAATGAATGTTCATCAAAGTAACGACAATATAGGAGGGGATGGGAGGTTAACATGTGCAATTTGTGGTAGGAAGGTTCATAAAGGTCGTGTCGATCCTGTTGTAAGCCAAGGTAAACAAAGTGGATGTACATATTTCTTTTGAGCACATAGGTCCGGTTTTCTTGCGTTGATCCCTATGGCTTCGGCTATGGATAAGATGAGAAGTCGTGCACCTTTAGGGAGATTGCGAGGGACACAGTACATCACAGGAAAGGTATGATCTACCTTAATCTCATGTCCGGTATCTGCTAGACGTGAGAGGATTGCACTGTTGCTGATCTTTGTCATTCTATTCGCTAACCAAGATGGCACATGTTCACAAACGTGCATTGATAGAGCCCTTTGAGTACAGCCTATGTAACTAGCTACACAGGAGCAGTTGAACTCATAAATGCACATTGAAGTGGCCATCATAGGTAACCTATACTTGGTTCTCTGTGTCAGTAATGGCTTGATTGAGAAGCTGACAAAAAGTTTCGCTGCAATGAATGTCCTTTTCACTGATCTACTTAAAAGATGTGTTAAGATATCCGTAGCGAAATCACCTTTGAAATTTAGTCTAAGATATACAGGCATCTTAGCAACATTGTCTTTCTTTATCTTCCCTCCACGTTTCGACATGTGTTTATTTATAAAGTCCAGCGGATAACCATTTTGCTGCAATGTTATCTTTAACCTACGCATTTCTTCCACAACATAGTCATCAGAACAAATGTTTCTCACTATGCAACTCAGGCATTTGACCAGATTTCTTGTCTATTGAATCAGTGTGAAGCTATGAACATAAGTATACTGATCAGTTTCTGTGTTCTTCCGAAAAATATTCCTTATAATATACCTAGCCGTTTTCCTGGTGATGAGAACATCCAGCAAAAGAATACAATTCACTTGTTCTGCCTAGCAGGTGAGTTTCATACCTCCGTGAGCTTTATTGAAGATATTCAAGTAAGCGAAGTGGTCGACACATAACAAGACTTCACTCCCTATTATTGAATTCGAAGTAGTTGCGGACTAGTCAGGGAGCCTCATCGTACATTTCAAAGTTAGTGCGAATATTCCAGCTTCAGAAGATGTCAAGTACTGAATGTATCTGCGCCATTGTTATCGATTTTCACCCATGCCACCAAGATTTCGCAACCACTAGTTTCTGTCGTCTCAGGGACCTCGGTCAGGCAGTCGACACCTCTAAACGCGAATCAGACCAACAGTCAGGGACTTCATGCGCTGGTGCAACGTCTTGGCTTGGCCACCCTAAACTTTTCCAACTTTCCCCAGCATGGCACATCGAGGTGCTTGGTGGCTCGGCATGCGCATTACATGTCCAAACCATCTCAGTCGATTAAAGTTCACAAACTAACCAGTTGACTTGCTTGTATTGCTTAATATCCTTAGCCTGACCTCAACATTGCTCCCACAATGATTCCACCAAACTCGAGCGGTGCTACGAAGACACCCGTGATTAAGCACCCTGTAACTGCTTCGAGTCTTCTACTTTCAACGACCATGTATCACGCTCGTACGACAAGACAGATTGGACCGCAGAGCAGTGTACTCGTCCTTCGATATCCCGCCAGTCGACGCCGAAGATGACGCAAGTTGGAAAACACCCAACAAACCTTTTGTATCCGAGCTGAGATCTCGTCAGCAACCAGCCCGTTCGGCGGGCTAATGCCACTCTCCGAGTAAGTGAAGTGGTCGACACATTCCATCACTTCACTCTCTATCATTAAACTGGGAGTAGTTGCAGACCAGTCATGGAGCCTCATCTTACATTTGACAGGTGTCAGCGAAACGCATGTCAAATATAACCAGGTTTGTGCTCAAGGCGTTCAGAGGCCCCTGCACTTTGTTACCACTTACGATGTGGCAGACAGGTCCATTACTTTACAAGCCATTTCTACTAATTCAAATTTGTGATACCATATGGTCGTTCAAAACTTTGTAGGTGGAGGATGGTTATGGATTGTGCTCTACTGCTTGCAAATTAAATACCTAAGCCAATAACTGTACATATTTAACTCGGTTTTTAGAAAGAAAATTGGACTGCAGAACAGTTATGATAGTGATTATGTGAATAGCTTAGATAAAAAGTAAACAAAATTGGTTTCGCTTCCCTCTTTTTCAAATACTTAAGTTTAGCCTAGCATTCGTGCAAAATAACAAAAGAAACTTCTGTAAGATCACTAGTGTCCAATGACATTTCAGGAAATTATTCAGCATTCTCTTTAGAACTTCACTCAGTGGGGATATAATAGATGTTAGTTTAATAGGGATTTACTTTCTACGCCACTGTGTCGCAAACTTACCACTATTGGTAAATGGTGCTTGATATAATAGTCATGGAGATCACATGCGTTAAATCAAGTTCAAGTCACCAAAGCCGATGTGACAAGATTACTTCATCCATCGAGTAATTATCTCTATCGTATCTGAGCATACACTTCAGATCTCATAGTTGCCCACATAATGCTGCTAATTAATATGAGCAAATTACAGAGACAGTAGTTGTCACTCACAATGAGTCAGAACTTTTTGTTCCAAAGCGCTGTACACCACCAGGGAAAAAAGCAGGAGAATAGAAACAAAGACATCTCATTAATATGCCCTGCTCTGACCTTTGCTGTATAAAGAATAACTTATTTTGCCACTAATTTTAGCACAAACTCCCAGACTTCTCAACTACAGTGCATGCAAAAATTCCTGTCAATCCGTTAGGTCTTGTCTTGAATGTGCTGATGGAGTGACCCTAGATAAATCTGACTTCTCAATGAATGACATTAACCTTGGTACGTAGACAACATTGTCCTGTTAGATGAAGACGCTGACAAAATGCAGTCTTATGACTGACCTCAGCAAAAATCTCAGTGCAGTCGTCACGCAGTTTGCACCTGTCAAATGAGAGATGCTACTTCTTGACTGGTTTGTACCAACTCGCAATTTAGGAACAAGAAGTGGGACACTAGAATGTGTTGACCACTTCACTTACTTGAAGAGTTGCGTCAGTCCACATGGGTTGGTTGTTCACAATACCTGATTTCCAATGCAGAAGGCATGTTTATCAGTTGTCAGCGTACACCACTTCTGGTGCCAGTGAGATGTCTGACTACCTATCAAACAATTTTACAAAAGTTAATCTTGTCCCATAGTATGTTTGGTTGTAAGACAGCTGTTGAAAGTGAGGTATGTAAAGAGAATGAAGGTTTTTGTTTGTAAGTATCCACGTAGCATTGGTTGAGTGCGATGGGGAATGTTGAGTTTGGTAGACAGAGTATTATGTAATGAATGCAAGTCAGTCAATGATAGTGTTAACCTTGACCAAGTGAGGTGGCTTGGTCATGTGTTTAGCATGCTGACTCACCGCCGCTCTCGACGCGTTTTTGTAAGTGAAGTAGCACTAGTTTGAACGTTCAAGATTATAAGCATATAGACTATGGTTGTTATGAATGTTATGGTAGAAGTTCATGTTGGGAGTCCGATGGTAGGAAGTTCTGAGATCTATGTTTTGTGCTTGTTGGTATCCATTAGCTAGGTGAATTTACCATTATGAGGAAAATGGAGTTACTTCTGTGGCTCGAACCCATGTGATCCAGTGTTTAAGTTACAGACCTAATCACTAAGCTATTTAGACCACGTCTGACGCCATGTCGAACTGGAGTAAGCACACGACTCAGCCACCCGTGGGTAACCATGGTGCCGACCACTGACATCAAAACATAGTGCACCACAGTACCGTATCACTTTTATTATTAGAAACATTGAAAAACTTGATCGATAGACTTCAAGCAGAGTTAAGCATCAAGGACTAGACAGCTACATGGATTACCCATTGGTGACCAATTCATGCAACGTTAAGGGTTGCCAGATCAAGAAGTGAGACCAGTTTATGAAATCTCTAACTATTGCTATGATTAATACTGTGAGAGTATACACTGCTCGACTGGAGTGATATGATCCCGATTCCACAACATGACACGATTTTATATACTGCACTTGGAAACATACAAAAAACTATTCGCTGGACACTTCAACTAGATTCCCAAACCAGGAACTAGAGATTTGAGATAAGACTGAGAGCAGAAAGGGTTTATTGTCGTTCAAAAATGTTGATAAATTGAGCGAAATGTAATGTGTATCAGTAAGTTTTGGTCATGAAACTTTTAGGTTAGCCATCGAAGCAGCTAGATCTAGAATTCTGTGAAACTTTGGATTTTCCAAAACGGCATGATAGAAAATATCTAGTTTTCTGGGATTGTTGAGTCAAATGTTTTGCTAACAGCGATACATTCCAATGTCCAGTCCTCGAGAAGAGAGAATTAATGGTTGGATACTCTCGGTGATGTGGTTTGAAATTGGTTAGAACAGTAAAGATGTATACACTCTTTGTCATCTTCAATACTTTAAAGATTTTTGCTTATTTCAAGGTAGTATTCCTCGTGGACTGATATCAATTGGAGAACCAATAAAAACCTCGAACTAAATTCTTATTTACTTCTATTTATTTACTCTTTCCTTTGTCATGCATTCGTCAACTCTAATATCATCTTTTCGATTCACTTTCACATTGTGTTGTTGTATTGCTTAACAATTCCAGCTGACGCATTCTTATGAAAGATTCTACGTTGATTATTTAGGCTACCTGAACCTTCAAGGACGCCTTGGTGCTTGAGCAAATAAGCGGTACGGCCCAGATTACCGAGCGAAAGCTCTGACGTATGGGACACAAGAATCGTTGTAAAACATTACTCTAACTAAAAATAGATCATTATTGATGCCTTTTTATGCCAGATTAAGTTATTCACCAACATTACCGTCTACGCAAGTGGCGTTTTTATTCTTCGATTGAGAAAACCACCATCTATTAGCAGTTAAACAGCATTAATACCGTTGTCAGAGTCTACGTTTCCCAACTTAGCTGGTTAGATGAAGAAATAATAACAGCAATATAAATATTAATCAAAAACTGTGGACATAAGTAAGTGATTAGCTATATCTTTTCTGCTGAACTACTGTGGGGTACGCTACTAATACAAATGTGCTTGAGTAGTATATATATATATATATATATATATATATATATATATATATATATATATATATATATATATATATATATATATAGCAGCGTCTTACGCGAAAGCCACAGAAAAAGATCGACTAGCGATTAGTCCGGAAAGAGAAACATAGTGAATTCGTTGGAAATATAAAAAGCAAGAGGACAAAGTGGAAGAAGCCGAAAGAAGATGCAGCTACAAGAACAAGAACCACCTGTGAAAAAGGAAATTCACTTTAAGATCATTTGATCAGCATTAAATGCAATTTAGCTTGATAAACAAAACATACTATGTCCAACATTGTTCTTTGCATCAGTACTGTCTAGCTGATTGCATCACAGTATGTTGAGCAAAGTTCGAATCAATAATCGAGCTATTGCTCCTGTGAACCACAGTTCTCTATAACAGCAGAAATACAACGCTCACCTACTTATGAGTACTAGAATATTAATTCTTGAAGGAAATCTATTCGTGTTTCCGTAATTGAATACATTCAGTAGTAATACATCATTCAAGAGTCTGTCTCGGTGTATCAAACTTAATGCTCATGATAATTAATACTTTCATTACTACTGAACCTAACAAACAAGAGTTTTAACCAACAAACAAAATAAGGTGTACAGGTGTACACTCCCAATGCATAAAATGCATCACAGAAAGATGAAAATGATTTCAGCAAGAAAATCCATGCATTTATGTTAGTCAATTCATGGTAAAAGAAAACACTTACTGCAAAAATTCGGCGACCAAAGTTTCCAGAATAGGGAGACTATTAATGTCGACCTTGGTACATGAAATCATCTCTCGAAGCTTAACTATAAAAGAAAAATATACAATATATATACAACAATATATATACAACTTCCAAAAATATGGTGCAATTCTTTACATATCTAGACAACCAAGCAAGAGGAACGTACCAAATAGCCTCAGCAAGTGAATCGGACCGTAAATGTCTGACATTCTTTTGTCTGTATGGCGTTTTAGTAGCTCCGCATATTGCAGTCGTTCAAATTTATATAGAAGATGAGAACCGATAATAAGATTGAAGTAGTGCTGAATCCCAGCAACAAATTCACGCCTTAAGTCTGGTCTTATTGTGGGACTGGCACTTATTTGGGAATTCTGAGATTCGGAAGTTGAATTCATTTCAGGATTTGGTTGAGATTTCATCTCAGTTTCAGAATTTTCTAAGAAGTCTGATAGGAGAGTAGATATTGGCTGAGAAGCAGGAAGCTCATAAAGCTGTAAAAAAAGTTAGACAAAAGTTAAAATTGGTCAAAAAATCCTTTTTATAAAACTAGTAACTTAGCAAGAAAGCATCTTAAATATAAAGAATAATGGTGTCAGAAAAACTAACTTGCTATTCCAGTGAATTCATATATGAATGATTTGTATAATAACATGCTTGAAGGAATAATTACGATTATCTTTATTTTCTATAAATGATTCCCCGTAAGTTGAAATGCACTATCGTTACGTTAACACTGGTTCGAATACAAATTTTCATCTCACCTTCAATCATCATCCAGTATAAATACTAGTCTGTCAAACTACGGCTATCTCAGATAGTCAAATGATAACTTTTACTTAAGATATGTGAAATCCTTACGTAAGAATAAACTACAATTAAGACGTTCATGCATTACTGGAATATTAAGAATTCGAATGGTCACGTCAACAAGGTAAGGGCAAAGAACTATCTTTTAAGATGTTAATAAGGATTTGATGGTCACAAACCGAATAATTGAGATCGCCCATTGAAGCATTGTGTAACTCATAAACAACTCTCACATTTACCAACAACTTTTGACACGATTATCATCAGTGTGCTACCTAAAGTTTACTGTCTGCCAACCAGGTCAAGGTTCAACGAGACCACAGTGAGATCAGCTACCTATGGTGTGGATAGGTATATGACTACCACTCCTGAATTGCTTGCTTAGATTCCGATCATGCATTCGTATATGTGTTCTGGTAACCAATAAAGTCGTAATCATGAAATTATTTACAATTTGAATGTATCCAGTGTTGGGAATGGAAACCTCAAGAAATTAAGTTTAAAGCCACCCGTCAGTCTATTGGGACAGGGTAGAACTTTACTGCACTTACGAGATGTCACGAATATAGTGCATAGAGCTGTTCACAGCCTTAGAGAACGTCTTCATCGAAAACAGCACTTTTTTTGCAAGTCGCTAGTATTTTCTTGGGGTCCACCGATTTACTTCTGAAAACAAGTACAAAACTCTCTAAAGGGATGAATTCCAGAAAGTCTAGGTAAGGCATGCAAAGTCAAGTTACCGAGGAGAAAAAAAGGTGATGGGAGAAATTTCGAATGATATTGTAGCTGACCAAAGCCGTTAGAAGAAGGTCTCGTTCCAGCCAAAAGATATGGAGTAAACGGGGTGTTGGCTAATAAGTGTCAAAAATGAAGGCCATAAGAAAAGAGCACCTCAAAATGCAACACTACTGACTTACAGCACCAGCAACTTTGACCGAAGGGTCTTTCACTACACGGACACAGTACTAACAACCCTAGACAAACATGGATTCGGAAAGAACTCCAAATGCAGATGGGCTACATGTCGGACACAAAAGACCTACCTCATTTTCGTTAATAATGGAGGCAGCATTCATGCTAAAAAACTAATCCAAACTTTTGATGAAATGCGGCAAATTCAGATTCTTTCACCATCCCAGAGCCAAGCCATTAACATACTCATCTTCAAAACGATTTGGGTAGTGTATGTGAGGACTAACCTCGCCTGGTTAACTAGTTCGCTAGTTACTAGCCGGTCCTAAGCCCGGGTAAAGAGGGAAGGTTGGGCATAGGGCTAGCAACCCTAACCCGGAAAACAAATCCAACCGCTAAATAAACTTCAAAGCACAAACAAAATATAAAAATAAAAACAAAATTATTCCTCTCTGGAATCGGAGAGGCGAAATGACGCCAGTTGGTGAAAGTCTTCGGGAAGCCAATCGGCCGATATGTCTTCTCTCCCTCGATGAAAGCGAAAGTAAACGTGGGGACATAGAATGTCCGCACGATGTTTGAACCCAGTAAGGCAGCCCAGATTGCAAAGGAGATGAGAAGGTATCACATCGAAGTGCTTGGGATTTGCGAGGAATAAGCAGATGGAATGGGAGTGGACTCTCTAAACTGTCAACTGGAGAATCAATAATCTACTCCGATATTGTCAACCAGACGACAACCACGAGCACACTGAGTTATGGAGTGGCTATCATGACGTCCCCAAGAGCATCGAAGGCTCTCATGCAGTGGGAACCAGTCTCCTCCAGCATCAGGATCATGGCAGCAAGATTCAACTCAAAAGGAAGGAATGTCACAATCATACAATGCTATGCCCCTACAAATAATGCAGAGGAAGAGAAAAAGGAGGAATTCTACAGACAACTCCAATCAACACTGGACAAGATGTTAGCTGGAGATATCAAAATCCTAATGGGTGGAGCGACATGAATGCCAAACTCGGAGCGGACAACACAGAAAGAGAACTAACCATGGGTCGAGAAGCGCTCGGTGATTTGCAGAATTCTGCGCATTCAACGATTTGGTGATTGGAGGCACTGTGTTCAAGCACAAAGCACAAAGCGACATGTAGTTGATTTCACCAGATGGACACACTACACTAAAAATCAAATCGACTTTATCTCAATCTCAAGAAAATGGAGACGCAGTCTACTTGACACAAGATCAGGTCAAGAAGAGGAGCAGATGTAGGCTCAGACCACTGTCTAGTGCAAGGAACCCACCTTCCAAATCAAGTTAAAAGCCTCCAAAGAAGTTGGCGATAGACCACAGTTGAAGTACAACACTCGGAACCGAAACCGAACTGAAGGATGAAACTACAAAGGACATCTTCACGTCAGCCAGCCATCAAGACAAAATGGGAGACAGCGAGCAACATCCCTGAAGAAACCTGTGTGGAAGAACACTCAAAGTCTTTGAAAGAGATGTGGAAAGAAACCTGCACAACCGTATTAGGAAGGAAGAAGAAAGAAGATAAGGAATGGATCTCGACGGATACCTGGAAGCTGATAGAGAAGGGAGAGGAGGATGGTGAAACAGAAGATAAACCAGTGCAGTACAAGGATGCTCAACGACAAGAGGAACTGAGCACAATGTATAAAACACTACACTGGACAAAGAAGTGAAGAAGAGTGCACGGAAAGACAAATGACACTTCCACGACACATTTGCAAGTGAAGCAGAACGGGCTGCAGGTAGGAGAGACCTGACAACATTGTATCAAATAACCAGGTTACTTGCTATCTGGGAAGAAATCAACGCAGACGAAACCAATAAAAGATGATGATGGAAATTTAATTACGAAAGAAGAGAAACAAAGGAAACCATGGGCCGACCACTTCAAAAAGTTCTTGAATCGACCACCACCTGCACTTCGTCCAGAAATACCACCTGCAGCCCAGCCACAGAACCACAAGTGAACATAAATCCTCCAACAAAAGTGGAAGTCCTGAACGCCATAAAGCTACTGAAATGCGGGAAAGCATCAGGACGAGATGGAATTCCGTCAGAAGCACTGAGAACAGACGCAGAGACAACAGCAGACATGCTCACACCACTATTGCAGAAGGTGTGGAAGGAAGAGAAGGTACCTGCAGATTGGAAGAAGGGTTACCTCGTCAAACTGCCGAAGAAAGGAGACCTCAGTGTTTGCAAGAACTGGCACGGAATCACTCTCCTCTATCCACCCCAAGTAAAATATTAAGCCGCATCATCTTGGAGAGGCTAAAGGATGCACTGGATTCAAAACTACGACCGGAACAGGCAGGCTGGATTCAGGAATTACAAATCATGTGCGGACCAAATTGCAACGCTTCGCATCATCTCATCATAGAACAGAGCATAGAATAGCAGTCAGCTCTCTACCTCAACTTTATCGACTTTCAGGAGGCCTTTGACAGCGTCGACCGAGAGGTAATTTGGAAACTGCTTCATTACTATGGAGTACCAAAAACCTTTATCAGCCTCATTCAACAACTACATGAAGATGCCACATGCCAAGTAATTCACAATGGGAAGCTCAGTGATGCTTTTGAAGTGAAGACAGGAGTGAAACAGGGCTGTCTACTATCACCCATGATATTCCTGATTGTGGTCGACTGGATCATGCAGCAAACAGTGGGGAGCGATAAGAGGGGGATACGCTGGACTGTGAAAAAGAACCTAGAAGACTTTCATTTCGCCGATGACTTGTGACTGATGTCACACAAACTTGAAGATCTACAGGCGAAAACTAACAAGTTGGCAGAAGAGGCAGAGAAGACGGAACTTCAAGTGAATATAAAGAAGACAGAAGTGATGAAGATACCGCACCACCGCCATCAACAACAACAACAAACTCCAGTCACCATCAACGGGAGAAACTTAAAGGAAGTAACCTCCTTCACCTATCTAGGAAGCACTGTCTCAACTACAGGCGAGACAGACGAAGATGTCAAAGTCAGAATTGGAAAAGCAAGACAGGTGTTCATTAGCCTGAAACCAGTGTGGAGATCTTCTGCACTCAGCTCAGCATGCGGAACAAGATCCGGATTTTCAACACCAATGTCAAGTCAGTGCTTCTGTATGGTTCAGAGACTTGGCGCGTCACGAAAGGGATTTCCAATAAATTACAGACAGTCATCAACAACTGCTTACGCTCGCTACTGAAGATCAGATGGCCAGAAAGAATAAGCAACAAGGAGCTCTGGAAACGAACCAACCAAGAACCTATCACGCAACAAATATGCAGAAGGAAGTGGGGATGGATTGGGCATACACTGAGAAGACCGACTGGGGACATCACGCGTCAGGCCAGTTACTCGAGTGGAATCCCAATGGGAAGCGACGAGTTGGGCGTCCGAGGGTGACATGGAGGAGATCGTGCGAGGAGGAAATGAGAGCTTCTGGGCTGTCGTGGAACCAGGTTCAAAAGATCTCAGAAAACAGAGGTCACTGGAGACGTGCTACTGAAGCCCTATGTTCCACTAGGAACCCAAGGGACTAATAAAATAAATAAATAATAATGTGAAGACTACTGAGATCTAATTGTTACCAATTATCCCTACACACTTGTCACTGATAAACTTCGCAGACTAAGGTAAACACGCAAGAAATTGCCACAAAAGAAAAAAACCGAGTTTTATGCAAGTTATGGGTATATGAATCAAACATTCCCTATCTATCAAATGTCTTAAAACTACCACAAGTATTTTATGTTAACGACTATAACATTTTCAAGAATCGCAGTTGCTTTTAAATTTGAACAGAGCGAAAAGAAAATATTTCCAAGCATATATTGTAGTTAGCAAGAGAGATCAATCAAGTAACTTTTCCAAAACGTGGTGTTGGATTTGCACGGAGGCACTACGCCTCAAAAGTCTCTTAGAGGAGGAAGATGTTCCTTAAAAGCCTATCGATTTCGAAATCTCTATAAAAACACTTCAAGTGTAGTAAGGGCTAGCAACTGAACCTATACATTGTTCTAAGCCAACATGGGCTACATAGGGTTGCTCACTGAAGTCACCTTTAATTATCCCATCAATGGCAATCAAAATATTTCCGAAACAGTGTGTGAATATAGCCTAAGCTTATTAATCAGAGCAAAGTTTTCCTACCCAGAATACAGACAATACCCTCATTCTATTCGGAAACAAACAGATCAATTACACCCTACATAATTTTGTGGCAGTTCCAAAGCGAAAAGTGCTTTCGAAAGATTGCGGGAAAGACAAATAAACAAAAGCGAAACCCAGGAAAAAAGTGCATTAGTTCAAGTCCCCATAATTAACAGCAGCGTGCAAAATAGTAAATAGAAATAATAATAATAATAATAATAATAATAATAATAATAATAATAATAATAATAATAATAATAAAGTAGACAAAAACACATGAAAGACGAGGAAATAAATGGAATTTAAATTTGTCCACACTCGTGTAGTAGGCAGTCAGCCATTGTGTGGTGGCTAATGAGACTATTTGATTACCCAGACCTCGGTAGGTGAGCTGGGTTCGAATCCATGCCCCATAGGTTGGGAATCAACTGTCTAGACCAATGGTCGTTAGGCTAAACATCCGAAATCTCGAAGATGACAATAAACGTACCAAATGTACCATTCAGATTAATTGTCAGGTATATCGCTATCCGAACAATCATTCTTTTACATGACGTTAAGGAGGCAAACAAGGTAAACTATACATATCAACACTACTGATCAGCAGTCTGAGACTTATATAGACCAATAAGACGTGTTTAACTGGGAACCCTTGGCCTCTTCCAACTGACTCCTACAACAGTTACCATAACGCGTCGAGAGCGGCGGTGAGTCAGCATGCTAAACACATGACCAAGCCACCTCACTTGGTCAAGGTTAACACTATCATTGACTGACTTGCATTCATTACATAATACTCTGTCTACCAAACTCAACATTCCCCATCGCACTCAACCAATGCTACGTGGATACTTACAAACAAAAACCTTCATTCTCTTTACATACCTCACTTTCAACAGCTGTCTTACAACCAAACATACTATGGGACAAGATTAACTTTTGTAAAATTGTTTGATAGGTAGTCAGACATCTCACTGGCACCAGAAGTGGTGTACGCTGACAACTGATAAACATGCCTTCTGCATTGGAAATCAGGTATTGTGAACAACCAACCCATGTGGACTGACGCAACTCTTCAAGTAAGTGAAGTGGTCAACACATTCTAGTGTCCCACTTCTTGTTCCTAAATTGCGAGTTGGTACAAACCAGTCAAGAAGTAGCATCTCTCATTTGACAGGTGCAAACTGCGTGACGACTGCACTGAGATTTTTGCTGAGGTCAGTCATAAGACTGCATTTTGTCAGCGTCTTCATCTAACAGGACAATGTTGTCTACGTACCAAGGTTAATGTCATTCATTGAGAAGTCAGATTTATCTAGGGTCACTCCATCAGCACATTCAAGACAAGACCTAACGGATTGACAGGAATTTTTGCATGCACTGTAGTTGAGAAGTCTGGGAGTTTGTGCTAAAATTAGTGGCAAAATAAGTTATTCTTTATACAGCAAAGGTCAGAGCAGGGCATATTAATGAGATGTCTTTGTTTCTATTCTCCTGCTTTTTTCCCTGGTGGTGTACAGCGCTTTGGAACAAAAAGTTCTGACTCATTGTGAGTGACAACTACTGTCTCTGTAATTTGCTCATATTAATTAGCAGCATTATGTGGGCAACTATGAGATCTGAAGTGTATGCTCAGATACGATAGAGATAATTACTCGATGGATGAAGTAATCTTGTCACATCGGCTTTGGTGACTTGAACTTGATTTAACGCATGTGATCTCCATGACTATTATATCAAGCACCATTTACCAATAGTGGTAAGTTTGCGACACAGTGGCGTAGAAAGTAAATCCCTATTAAACTAACATCTATTATATCCCCACTGAGTGAAGTTCTAAAGAGAATGCTGAATAATTTCCTGAAATGTCATTGGACACTAGTGATCTTACAGAAGTTTCTTTTGTTATTTTGCACGAATGCTAGGCTAAACTTAAGTATTTGAAAAAGAGGGAAGCGAAACCAATTTTGTTTACTTTTTATCTAAGCTATTCACATAATCACTATCATAACTGTTCTGCAGTCCAATTTTCTTTCTAAAAACCGAGTTAAATATGTACAGTTATTGGCTTAGGTATTTAATTTGCAAGCAGTAGAGCACAATCCATAACCATCCTCCACCTACAAAGTTTTGAACGGCCATATGGTATCACAAATTTGAATTAGTAGAAATGGCTTGTAAAGTAATGGACCTGTCTGCCACATCGTAAGTGGTAACAAAGTGCAGGGGCCTCTGAACGCCTTGAGCACAAACCTGGTTATATTTGACATGCGTTTCGCTGACACCTGTCAAATGTAAGATGAGGCTCCATGACTGGTCTGCAACTACTCCCAGTTTAATGATAGAGAGTGAAGTGATGGAATGTGTCGACCACTTCACTTACTCGGAGAGTGGCATTAGCCCGCCGAACGGGCTGGTTGCTGACGAGATCTCAGCTCGGATACAAAAGGTTTGTTGGGTGTTTTCCAACTTGCGTCATCTTCGGCGTCGACTGGCGGGATATCGAAGGACGAGTACACTGCTCTGCGGTCCAATCTGTCTTGTCGTACGAGCGTGATACATGGTCGTTGAAAGTAGAAGACTCGAAGCAGTTACAGGGTGCTTAATCACGGGTGTCTTCGTAGCACCGCTCGAGTTTGGTGGAATCATTGTGGGAGCAATGTTGAGGTCAGGCTAAGGATATTAAGCAATACAAGCAAGTCAACTGGTTAGTTTGTGAACTTTAATCGACTGAGATGGTTTGGACATGTAATGCGCATGCCGAGCCACCAAGCACCTCGATGTGCCATGCTGGGGAAAGTTGGAAAAGTTTAGGGTGGCCAAGCCAAGACGTTGCACCAGCGCATGAAGTCCCTGACTGTTGGTCTGATTCGCGTTTAGAGGTGTCGACTGCCTGACCGAGGTCCCTGAGACGACAGAAACTAGTGGTTGCGAAATCTTGGTGGCATGGGTGAAAATCGATAACAATGGCGCAGATACATTCAGTACTTGACATCTTCTGAAGCTTGATATATTCGCGGTAACTTTTATCTTCTAATTCCTCATTCTTCCACACAACTCTAGGCACTTATATATGAGTCTTTTGTTATCGTCCCGTTATTTGTGGACTTCTGCAAAGTGTGGCAACTTCATCTGATGCACTTATGTATGAGGTTCTGCGTTAATTTTGGCTGTCGGATCCACCTACAAAGACTCGGTTAGCTAGTCAGTATTATTGGCGATTACAGGATAGGTGATTATAACTACATATATATGAGTAAACTATTATTGAAACACTGATGCATACCCCATTATTAACACAACAGTCCAAGAAAATAAGACTTACTCGAGCTTGTCGGGTAATTAAATCCCAGTCATCCACAAGCCAAGCTTTTAAGGATGGAGGTATTGATACTGTCAGCTGTGGTCTAGAAAGAAGACCATTATCCTAAGAAGAAAAATAAAGTTTAGACATGAAATATATCAACATAGTTAGAGTGAAGGCCACTACATCTATGGATGTAAAGGTCTGTTGCATTGATATTGAAGTAGCATACTTGAAATTTAATCATGGATTTCACCTGAAACTTGGAACATAAACCCAACTGAATCACAATACACTTGTACAAATTCTAGAGATACCCAGTGTGAGAACATCTCACGAGTCAGTATACAATATTATTTCCGAAGCTAGCCGCTGGAACATGCTACAAAGAAACAATCTGCGGAACAAATATTTTTAAAGACATGAGAGTTCAAAAGATGCGACTGCATTGAAGTTTCTGAAAGGAAATCTCTGTATCACCTTATTCAATAGAAGCTGGAAGTGTAAAACATTAGCAAGAGGTGCTATAGCTAGACTGTACAATCCAAAATGAATTAGAATTGAGTGATAGGAAACCGAAACCCTTTGTAGGATCAATAAAAAAAATTATATTTACATTTTCAAGAGACTTTATTCCTGATGTTGCTCGGCTTTTTCTTCTTCTACTTGATACTGTGACAGATTGGGCTGACACTGCGTGGGAATCTTCAACCGGCTTAGTCGGTGGTTTGACATCTTCGCTCTCTTTTGCCCCGCTAGTAGCATTATTATCCGGTTTAATTGTTTCCTCATTATTTTTTACCTGTTTTGCTTTAGAGCTATTCTCTTCTATAATGACAATCAGACAGAAGTTAGAAAGCTAACCTTGTTTCACCAGAGCAGGCTTCAGTGTCCGCTCTACATCCTTGAGGACTTCTGGAGGTGGTAGAGACTGAGACTTGAGGTCAGACTTTCTTAAAATTTTAACTTTTCCAGACCTTCTACGATCTAAATCAACGCACAACAATCGTGACTCACATTTGTCGTTCAAGTTCCTTTTGCTTCTTCAAGCCTTCCTCATTATACTTAAACATACGTTTCTCGGTCACCCACTCATCCCAACTGTCACCAAGCGATTATGTATTTGAATTCCTCACTTCTTATTCCAACCTTGATAGTGCACAAAATACATAACACCATCCTCCTTCACCTTAACATCCAAGCACTTTGCTTCGTACATAAGAGGACCATGGAAACAAAGTAACTTCTCACCTATACATGTGAAGCAATGTATACAGAGAATCATAACACCTTACCTGGCTCGTATTTAGGTTTTAAATCTAAGTTTGTCATTGTAACGCAATTCCTAAGGCATGCGCTTCTTCTAACATTAAACACTTCAAATATCCAATATCGTTTTACAAGCTAGTGTACACCAATTGATTTCTTCGCGCTCGCTTCTAGGTCTTGTGGAACACTTTCAGGTCTTTGGTGGATTCCGATGCCGTAGGTATACCCACTCGACTGCTGTAGCTCTGGTTAGCCCAATGGGCGGGTGGGTGCTTGTTAAACTTGTAGGGGGTATGTATTGTTGTTTTTTTGCAAAGACTGTGGTGCAGATGTGTTCCTCAAGTACCGTACCAGCAGACCATTGGTTGGACTGGTTGTAAAAAAAGAGATAGAAAATATGTCCATAGAAATCAAAGGAGGGAAAGTGGGAAGAAAAATAAACAGTGGTTTGTCCATCCATGGAGGAGAGGAAAAAATACAGTCACGAACTCCAGGTCAGGTAGTATGAAGCTGCTAAAAACTTAGCGAAAAAACCCACAATCGAATTGCTCGAAACCTTGTCTAAGAGGTGCTAACGTCATCTCTACGATATGCATTTCTGTTGTAGCGTCATACACTTCCCCAAAATCAATAGCCTAGGGTTTGACGACTTTCGACATTGATGCTGACCTTGATAGTTTAACTGGACTCGCTAAGCTGAAGGCACCCGGTCAAGCATCCTCGCCATTTGGCACGCTGTCGTGTTACGTTGCATTGCTCGTATTCGACTCTCTAGCCAGTTAGTTGGAACGCATCGGTATTTTGGCATAACCATCCAAATATACTATTCCATCCGACTACGCTATCGTGTTCTTCCTTGGTCTCGTATTCGTGGGTATATAACAAGTTCGAATAATTAGTGATTGGTCTTTGCGTCTGTCAAGTTCGCACCAGGACAAATCCTAAATTGGTGAGCCCGACGTGATCACATATCCCGACCAATAACAAGTATTGAATTGGTGAGCCTGTTCCATTTTATATTTGTTTATTGTTTTCATTTCGATAACATTTATATATCCATTTACTACACTTTCTCATGTCCGACCACACTCCCAAGCTTATTCGTATTAAGCCGACCTCGAACACGATCCAACTCGTGCCATATTGGCCAGACAATGCAGAAACATGGTTTCTGTATGCCGAGGCAGATTTTCGAGAACAGGGTGTCTCAGATCCTCATTCTCGATTTCTTGCTGTCATACGTCACTACCGCGAGAATTAAACAGGTATGTTACAGCAAACATGTTTAATCCTGAAGTAAGTGACCCTTATGCACTTCTAAAGGCCGCACTCTTGAAGAAAAGCGATCTCACAGATCGCCAACGTCTAGACGAATTGCTTCGTAACATCGAGCTAGGCAGCCACTCAGCTACTGAAGTCCTCGCACGCATGCGAGAAGTAATCGGTGCACGAACATTTGACGATGGTTTCTTCCGAGAACTATTTCTCTCGAAACTACCACAACCGGTGCAAACCGTGTTGGTGACACTCCAGTCAGTCCCACTCGACGACCTGGCAGCCTCAGCAGATAAAATACTGGAGATATCCAGCAGACCCGTCTCCAACGTATATTCTATCTGCGACAAAACAGAGCGCCAGGATTCAGAGGTGACCAAGTTGTGCAACTCTGTGAGACGGTTGCTACGATCTCGAAGTCCTAGATCACGTAGCACTTCACGGAAACGCACCTTGGCGCATCGCAGCAAGTCGCGTGGTAGCCCTAAAACGAAACCCAACAGGGTGGAAAACCCTGAATGGTGCTGGTTTCATAACACTTACGGGGATGAAGCCAGAAAATGTCGTAAACCATGCCGTTTTAAGAAGGACCCGAACTCGGGAAACGGTCACGCCGGCACGTGCTCACGGCAACCGTAGCCGGCCGAAAAAGCCGTTTGCTCTACGTCACGGATATTAAAACGAAAGTCCGCTACCTCGTCGACACCGGCGCAGAAGTTAGCATTCTTCCAGCAACGACAAAGGAGCGTCATCTTGACCCATCCTTCAATCTTCAAGCAGCCAACGGCAAGGCAATCGCGACATTCGGGAGACGGTATGCCTACCTCAACTTAGGTTTACGCAAACCTATCCACTGGATTTTCCTCCTGGCAGACGTCTCTATGCCCATCATTGGCATAGATTTGCTAAACCATTACGATCTACTCGTAGATGCTCGCCGTCGACGACTGATAGATAACAGCACAAAGTTATCTATTGGCGGCACCACCTATGTAGGTCCGAGTTTAGCCATCGTTAGGACTAAACAATCAGGACGCGTCCTACCAGGCAGTTCTGGAGAAATATCCAGAGTTACAGCAACCGAAGCACACTCTTCCGTGCATAACCAGCAATGTTATGCATCACGTCACAACCACAGGTCCACCTGTGGCATCCAAAGCGCGCCGTCTAGCCCCCGATAAGCTCCAAACGGCGAAAAATGAATTCGACCACATGCTCGACCTGGGCATTATCAGACCGTCGAACAATCCTTGGGCATCGCCATTGCACATGGTTCCCAAAAGGATAGCAGTGACTGGCGTCCAACCGGTGATTACCGAAGGCTCAACGCCAAAACAACTCCGGACTCCTACCCGATACATCAATACAAACCCTCGTATACTTTGCCTTTTTATATCAATTTTTATTTACCATGTAATGAAATTTTAAAAAAAACGGTAAAGATAAGCGTAAATTTTTATTTTTCGATATGTTTATATATAAATAATTCCCATTTTTACGCAACGTTTTCGTGGTATTAAAGACTTTTATTTATATTCCAGGTGCAACGAGCACTGGACGGAACGTCGAAAGGAACAGATGACCGCGACCGACGTACAATTCCATTTATTGTATTTTATTTATTTAATCGCCACGACACCCTAGAATAAGGTTCAGACAACCAGGGGCCACCTCACGCAGTCAGCCCATCGGAAGAGTTTTACCAGTGGAGAAACCACTGGGTTTTTACTTCCGGCTGGTATCGTCTTAGGGTCCTCACGAACCCACTAGGGGGGGAGTGATCTGTAGCGTCATACACTTCCCCAAAATCAATAGCCTAGGGTTTGACGACTTTCGACATCGATGCTGACCTTGATAGTTTAACTGGACTCGCTAAGCTGAAGGCACCCGGTCAAGCATCCTGGCCATTTGGCACGCTGTCGTGTTACGTTGCATTGCTCGTATTCGACTCTCTAGCCAGTTAGTTGGAACGCATCGGTATTTTGGCATAACCATCCAAATATACTATTCCATCCGACTACGCTATCGTGTTCTTCCTTGGTCTCGTATTCGTGGGTATATAACAAGTTCGAATAATTAGTGATTGGTCTTTGCGTCTGTCAAGTTCGCACCAGGACAAATCCTAAACTGTCGCAGTTGGTTGGGTTTTTAAGTCTTGAGAGATTAAAGGAACCAAATTCTTCTTCGTCAGCAATGCTTCACATTTTATGCCATCTAGGTTATGTACGGTGTTGTATGTTTCAGGACTATATGAAAACCCATTACTGAAAGCCCGATCTAGAGGGCGACTCAAGTCTTCCCTTAGGGAGACGCTAATTCTCTGACTTTTGAATTCTATCCATAGTTTACCTCATTCAGCCAAGGAAAGGATTTCATGAGAAGCTCACGTCAGTGAAACAAGGAAACAAACCGAAAGAAAAAGAAAAACTCAGAAAAGTTTAACGAATGTAAAAATCACTGATGCCGGGATGTTAGATGAATTAGATGAAACACCGTGCAGCTAAGGAGTGAGAAAGTACCTGGAATAGTTAAAGTAGGGACACTGGAAATGGAAGCGGTGATTATATCAATAATGAAGCGGGTTCGGTGAGGTATGACCTCCAATGCGGAAAGAGATAAGTGGGTTGTGAAAATGGAGAATCATAATAAACCTTTCCAAAAAATGAGTAAATGTACATTTTCTATCTGCTATGTCGGAATGAAGATTTTCACGATGGGTCGGCTATCCCTGAGTCAATGGGACCTCGACCGACGCATGTGCTGCATCTAGTGATATCGTCAACCAATGCAAATCCTAGTTCGTCAATGCCTTCAAGGCCCAAATCCTAGTCAAATGAAGAACCATACGCTGATACGCCTCAGTTTGAAGATATTCCGATAACGCACGATATTAAAACCAATAATCATTTGTGGACATCTCTCCTTAGGTGCATTCCATAAGAACTGTATCAGATATGGCCTAGTGGGTGTCACTGCGAGCTTAGACCTGAAATGTTTCCACATCGTTTCTATATGTTTCATACACATGACTTGACAGATTCGTCGAAAGTGTGATGGTTTTCGGTAGACTTAAAAGGACACGTTACTACAATGGTGGTCTATCCAGATGTTACTTCGAGGCCAGTCCTCATTCTTCCCTCGGACCTCCTCAGATTTATTAGAGGTACAACCTAAAATAGGTGCTGGGAACCAGATATCCCGGCAACTCCCTCTAAATGACTCATATGGTTTTGATGCCATGATGATACCGATTTAACCTATATATATATATGTATATATATATATATATATACTCATATGTATATATATGTATGGCAGCACGTTCGATAACTTTCGTGCTCCACTCCTGGTGATCCATTAGCGGCTTTCGAAAAAGGCGGTAACTCACTAGATGGGATATCACAACCTTAAAGCGTGCGCAAAATATGTTGAGTTTTATATAGTAACAGAGGTTCCGGTTATGTGATGCCTTTCCAGGAGAGATATCCCCTGTCAGTTTTATTTATTTAACTAATCCCATATTTCTGTGCATGAGTTCGTGCCTTGTATAGAAACTTTGAAGTGAAGTGAGTGATTGTGAAAGCCCTCAGAAATTTGGTTCTCCTTTGAAGCGTTGGGATGGCCTTACTGCACACCACGGCATACCATATATGAACAGCTAACACCAATTAGTTCTGCACAAAGCAAGTTTTGGGAAGGTTGTCCGAAATATTGTTGGCCCGCTTGAACGTTGGTCTGCCAAAATATTCCATTGTAAAAAGCATCGAATTACTCCTTTACCGGTTGCT